AGGGCATCCTGTCCCTCAGGCAAGTCAACTGCACCACTCAGCTGCATGTCATCTGTAAACTTGCTGAGGGTGCACTCGATCCCACTGTCTGTTATTGATGAAGATATTAAAGAGTACTGGTCCCAATACAGACCCCTGAGGGATACCACTCATCACCAATCTCCATCTGGACATTGAGCCATTGTCCACTACTCCCTGGATGTGAGCACCCAACCAATTCCTTATGTACCCAACAGTCCACCCATCAAATCCATCTCTTGCCAATTTAGAGAGAAGAATGTTTGGAGGGACTGCGTCAAACGCCTTACAGAAATGCTAGGTAGATGACATGTGTAGCTCTTCTCTTGTCCACTGATGTGGTCACTCCATCATAGAAGGGCACTAGGTTGGTGAGGCAGGACTTGCCCTTGGTGAAGCCATGCTGGCTGTCTCAAATCACCTCCCTGTTCTCCATGTGCCTTAGCATAGCTTCTAGGAGGTTCTGTTCCATGATGTTCCTAGGGCACAGAGGTGAGGCTGACAGGTTGGTTGTTCCCAGGGTCCTCCTTGCTACCCTTTGTAAAGATGGGTGCGGTGTTTCCCTTTTCCAGTCTGCAGGGACTTCACCTGACTGCCAGGGCTTTTCAAGTATCATGGAGAGTGGCTTGGCAAGTACCTCAGCCAATTCCCTCAGGACTGTGGGATGCATCTTGTCAGGTCTCAGACTTCTGTATGTTCATGTTCCTCAGGTGGTCTCGAACCTGATCTCTTAGAGTGCGAAGGACTTTGCTTCTTCAAACTTCCATTTGCAAGTCTTTGTGTAGAGATATTTGGACATAAATATGCTTAATGTCAGAATGATTAAATCAAATTGGTAATTCAAGTGGTATTTTCTATTATGTTATCCTTTAAATAAATGTATGTTTTGCATAACACTTTCTGCTTACTTATATTAGTCTGTATGTGTGAATATGTAATGCTGTTTGGGTCTGGAGAAGGGAAGGAATGGGCAATGAGAAGCTAAAAGAGATTGGTCCTTCAAAATTGTCTTCTAAAATTGATCTAGTCACAGACTGCGAAACACAAACAAAAGCTATTAATTTTTCACACAATGTTTCTCGTTTTCCAGTCACCAAGGACTTCACCTGAATGCCAGGACTTTCCAAATGGAGACTGGCTTGGCAAGTACCTCAGCCAATTCCCTCAGGACTGTGGGATGCATCTTGTCAGGTCTCAGACTTCTGTATGTTCATGTTCCTCAGGTGGTCTCGAACCTGATCTCTTAGAGTGCGAAGGACTTTGCTTCTTCAAACTTCCATTTGCAAGTCTTTGTGTAGAGATATTTGGACATAAATATGCTTAATGTCAGAATGATTAAATCAAATTGGTAATTCAAGTGGTATTTTCTATTATGTTATCCTTTAAATAAATGTATGTTTTGCATAACACTTTCTGCTTACTTATATTAGTCTGTATGTGTGAATATGTAATGCTGTTTGGGTCTGGAGAAGGGAAGGAATGGGCAATGAGAAGCTAAAAGAGATTGGTCCTTCAAAATTGTCTTCTAAAATTGATCTAGTCACAGACTGCGAAACACAAACAAAAGCTATTAATTTTTCACATTCCTTTCTGCCTAGGTTTTGTTCTTTTACAATTACAGCTGTTTCATCTTTGACATAAAGTGCCACTTCCTGACACTAGATGATTGTCCATCAAGATTGTTTATGAAGTTCTAAGATTAATGCCTACATGAACTGAAGCAGGAATTTCAAAGACTGAAAATTGACAAGAATCATGAAGCCTCCATTCATTCTAATAAAACTCCCATTGAAAAGTGCATGTCAAAATTTTGTAACTGGATTCTGGGGTATCCAATTCATATCGTGTACTATGGTAGGGTACAGGTTCAAGATAAACCGATACTTTTGAGTTGAGCAGATTTTAGGTGCGTAATCCTACCCCAGAAATGCCTAAATCCCAAAGTACCTATGTTTACAGCTTCTTGAAAATGCTTTCTTGAAAAAGCCTGTGGTCTTTTTTTTTTTTTTCTTAGACACAGAACTGCTTCCGCCTGAGCAGCTTGGCATAGAGTTGCAGTCTAAATCTCATGGGAGTCAAAATACGAGCAAGAGCAACACCTAAGCTCTCTTAACTATAATATCCATTGCCTTTTTTCTACAGTACGTTAGAGCATTGAGTCAGTACAATATGTTTTATGGTATTTTAATGGTTACTGCATTTGGCCTGAAAGTGAGATACCTATATCTAACTCTGTCTTTCAAACTTTCATGACTCAGACCAGTACTCTTACTACTGGGCAACTCGTGCTGTAGATGCTGTGCTAGGGAACCTTAAAGATCAAAATAGTCATGGAAGCCACAGAGCAAAGAGAAATAATTTGTAACCTTTTATGTAGGTCTTTCAGTAGAGGATGGCAAGACTCCTTGCATCTGCACTTCTTCTTACTGGCTTTGGTACAATCCAATTTTTCATGTCATATATCATGATTTCTGGGATGGGCTTGAATAATATTACTAAAGAGAGACTGGACTCCTTAATTAGCTGAAACCTGTGCATAGTATAAGGAACATTTCTTTCATGAGTACCAATTCAGTAGATTCTGTCACTCTGTTCACTCTAGTCTCCTTAGTGTTGCTGTGGCTGTTAGAGCTTATTTTTGACTGGGTTAATTCTCTAAACCAGTCATTACAGAGAGCAACAGGGGAATTGTGGGCTGCTTAAGCCAGTACTGTTGCCAAAGGAAATATTTAATCAAGCTACAGCTTAAGACACAACTCATTACAATTTTTTCCCCTAAAATGTTCCTTACTTAATGAGATTGGAACAGTTATTAGAGTTGGGGGAACTCAGAACTCGTATGTAATTCTCCCATGATCTTCCCATGATCTTCTTGTGATGCCAACTCTGGGTAATGGGAGTTTGTACCTTATTTGTTTCTTGATTTTTGAAAGCTTCATCTGAAGACAAGGGAAATTTTACTGAGCTTTCTATACCAGAATGGCTGAAGAGTTTATTATAAACAACCCATATTGAAGTTAGTATATCTCTATGCATAAGTCTAACTTACCCATCAAACTATATTTAATGACAAATTAGAGAAGGGATAGAGGCTTCAAGTTCAGAAAAGCAACTGGTATATATTTTAGTAATTCCTTATGCTTTTGTGTAGTTTCAAATAGCCATTTTAGGTTCTAGTTCTAATTGTTGAAATCAAAACACTACCTATCTAAATGATCATGCAATTACCTTCCATGTAGCATTACAGCAGCTATTTATGGTAGTTACAATGTTATTTTGTACAAGAGTGTAACACATGAATTGCAATGTTTTTATGTTACTTGTGTACATAGATTTTCATACTGGAAAAAGGCTTTTCTAATTTGAACAATTTAAATATCACTATTCTCTCAATTCATGCATTTTTGTAACAGATAGAATATCATTTGTCAGCTTATTTTTCAAACCATATTTGCATTTTATTTACAAAGTTATATATTAAGGTCAATAGATTTTGCCACAGAATTGCCCAAGATTTCAGGTATATTAACTGATACATCAAGGAAATGCTGCAATAAACAGTTCTCTGACAAGTTAATATTTGCTAATCTTTAAAAGTTATATAAAAATAAATAAAATTGTTTTTCTTATTTGATTTAGCCATAATTTTAGTGAGTCTGATGTGTTGTAACTAATGTTATTGTTTCACTTGAGTCTCAGCTTGAACCAAAATGCCTACTTTGATTCCAGAAAAAGGAGTGACATTCTGCAGCCTTATGTATCAAAACAAGACGTCTAATATTAAAACTCAGCTGTTTCGTCACTCCTATCAATTGCTATTAGCTTCAGTTTTCATGAATCACATTTTCAAGCACCATGCCTGACGTAACTGCTGCTGCTG